GTGAAAATTTTTATTATTCACTTGCAATTGTAAATTTTGTTAAATACAACTTGATTGACTCGATTACAAAAATAGAGTTACTCCCTCTATTTATAGATTTAAGTTAGCTTGCTTTCTAAACCAAAAGCCCAAAACTATAAAAGCCCAAAATAACTATTTTGGAATTAAACCAAATCTATTATATTTTAGACCTAATCAAATCTATTTAGATCTAAAATAAATTTGTGTGTAACAAACTGTTTCCATACTAAATCAAATATTTTCGATATTTCCTTGTCTGTGTTGAGTAAACTGCTTCGACACAAGGAATCACTTCCAATACACCATCTAATTCATTGTTTCTAAGCTATCTAAATTCATCATAGCTCTTATTCTTCGAAATACTTCGACCTGCACACCCTTCGTCATGATGTATGCAATCTGATTCTCAGTTCTATAGTGTTTCAAGTTCATCTTCTCATCTGCTACCTGCTCCCAAAGATAGTGGAACCTCATTTCGATGTGCTTGCTTCGACCATAAGCTATCGGGTTCTTCGCCAGGTTGCTTGACATACACAAAGAGAAGCAGTTATGTACTCTACTTTACATGATGATAATGCCACTACTGGTTCCTCTCTCGAACTCCAAGCAATTTGTGTATCACCTAACATAAACACATATCCTGTTGTGGACTTTTGATCCTCAGCATCACTACACCAACTCAAATCAGTGTATCCCAATAACTTGTATTATTTTCCTTTATCAGTTGCAGGAAACAAAATGTCATAGTTGAGAGTTTCTTTGAGATACCTCAATATCCTCTTCTTCGCTGCTAGGTGTGATACCTCTGGCTTTTGTATGAATCTACTTACCATACCTACATTGTATGCTAAGCCAGGTCTTGTGTAACAAAGGTATCTTAATGACCCAATAAGTCTTTTGTATTGGATTGGGTCGACATTATCTTCACCTACATATTTTGATAGTTGTAACCTTGGTTCAGCAGGTGTCGAAGCCGAGTTGCGTTTTTCCATCTCAAATCTCTTGAGAATTTCTCCTTCGTATCTTCTTTGATACATCATCAAACCTCTACTACTCTTGTAGAATTCGATGCCAAGTAAATATGAAATGTCACCCAAATCATACATTTTGAATTCCTTGTTGAGATCACCTTTGAAGTATTCGATCCCCTTCTTGTAGCTATCTGTTATTAACAAGTCCTCGATATAGAGACATAGTATAAACAATTTTCTATTGCTTCTTCTTACATATACTCCATGTTCAGTTATACACTTCACAAAATCCTTCTCCCTTAGAAAACTAGCAATCTTCTTATTCCAAGCTCTTGGAGTTTGCTTCAATCCATACAAGGCTTTATGCAGCCTGTACACCTTTCTATCTTCACCATGTTTCACAAACCCAACTGATTATTTAACATAAAAAATTTCATCTAAGGTTCCATTCAAGAATGCACACTTCACGTCCATCTGACATATGTGCCAACCGTTTATTTTTGCTAGACCAATAACCAACCTGATTGTTTTAATCCTAGCAACAGATGCAAAAACTTCATCAAAGTCTATTCCTTCTTTCTGGAGAAATCCTTTCGCCACAAGCCTCGCTTTGTGTCGAGTTACTTCCCATTTGGTATTCATCTTCACTTTGTATACCCACTTGACATCAATTGCCTTCTTGCCTTTAGGAAATTCGACAAGTGACCAAGTGTTGTTATCTTTGATGAACTTCACTTCTTCGTTCATTGCTTTCACCCACTTCGAATACTTTAATGCTTCGGTTGCATTGACTGGTTCGACATATGCATAGAAAGCATAATATACCAGCTCACCTTCTCTATCAACCACATCATCTGATATAATCAGACATTCTTGCAACCTTGCTGGAATGCATCTTGTTCTTTGAGGTCTGCTTGTACTTGGTTGATCTATAATTGTTGGTTCCTCTTGTCGAACTTCTCTTTTGACTTGAGTTTATGGTTCTTCAAGTAGGATCCCCACTGAATCTTTCTTGACATTTTCAGTTCAATCTCATTCTTTAAGCTCATCTATGATCACGTCCCTGTTAATCGCAATATGCTTGTCCACTGGGTCGAATAACTTGTAACCTCCTATCAAATGATATCCAACTAGAATCATTTGACCCAACTTGTCATCAAGTTTTCTTCTCAACTGATCAGACACATGTCTATGTACTATAGATTCAAATACCTTCAGATGACTTAAGCTAGGCTTTGTACCAGATCAACATTCTTTTGGAGTAATTCCTTCTAACTTCTTCATAGGACATCTGTTCAAAATATATGTTTCAGTCGACACGGCTTCACCCCAAAACTCTTTAGGTGAATGCTTGTCTTTCAACATATTATCACCATATTCATGATGGTTCTATTCTTCCTTTTTGCGGTTTTATTCTGCTGTGGAGTGTAGGGTGGAACCACCTCATACACAATCCCTTATTTTCACATAACTTATCGAAGTCTTTTGACACATTCTCTCCACTACCATCAGTTCTCAATACTTTGAGCTTTCGACCACTTTGTCTTTCGACCATAGACTTAAATTTGGCAAATACCTCGATCACTTAACTTTCTTCTTGATCAATTAAGTCCACAGTTTTTGATTGAAATCGTCTATAAATGTAATAAACTATTTGTTACCTCCAAACGAATCCACCTGGATTAGTCCACATACATCAGAGTATATGACTTTAAGGACAACTTTTGACTTGCTTATTTCATCCTTGTTGAAGCTATTCTTGTGTTGCTTCGCCTGCACACATTCCCACACACCTCGCTTGGAATGTCAATTTCTGGAAACTCTGAAACTGTATTTCTTCTCTTCAAACCTCTGATGTCTCTGAAGTTGAGATGCCTTAGTCGATAATGACATATCCATTCATCTCTGCTAGTTGCAGTAGAAAGGCATTGGTGCTCCATCACATTAAGTTCGATCTTGAAAGTTCTATTCTGAGACATAGAAGCTTTCAAGATCAACCTTCCATTTGCGTCGACGAATCTCATCTTGTCTTTGACCAACACTTTGTAATTCTTTTCGACCAACTGCCATATGCTGAGTAAGTTGCTCTTCATGCCCGGTATGTACAACACATTGGAAATTATTAACCTTTTGCCATTTTTCCTTATAATCAAAACATCTTCAATACCTTTAGCTGCTAAAGTATTGTCATTTACAAATTTTACCATTTTCTTCATTGAGGGTTTTAGATTGACAAACCAATATTTCCTTTCAGATATATGTGATGAGCATCCTGAATCCAAGTACTATTGATCCTTGAATTTTTATTCATCTCTTGTTGTAACCATCAACAACATCTCCTCTTCTTCATACTTTGTGAACTTTGCATCACTTTCTTGAATATTTCGCTTTTTTGGACAATCACTCGAATAGTGACCATACTTCTGACAATTGAAATACTAAATGTGACTCTTTTCAGGTTTTTGACCACCACCTCTTCATTTATTCACAACACCACCTCTTTGGTTGCCTTGGTATTGTTTTCTTTGATTCGACACGTTTTCTTCGTGCTGGTTTCCTTTACCAATCAAATTGTTCTAGCCACCTCTATCTTTGTTGTCGAACCATTTTCCTTTGTCTTTCTTATCTCTTACTGATTGAACCTGCAAAACTACATCACTCTTCGACTTGTCTGCATCTCTTTCAGCCATTCTTTGTTCGTGAGATTAAAGCGTCCTTTGAAGCTCTTCTTTCGATAAAGATGACATGTCCATTGACTCCTCTATGGAAACTACCACATGGTTGAACTTCGAAGCCAAAGATCTTAAGATCTTCAAAACAACAGCTTTTGTTGTTAATGTCTCTCCACAAATCTTGATTTGATTCACTAGTTTTGTAACCCTAGTGAAAAAATCAGATATGCTTTCACTATTTTCCATCTGAAGCAATTCATAAGTTCTTTTGTGAGTTTGTAACCTCACCTCTTTCACCTTCTCAACGCCTCCAAATGATTTATTCAAGGTTTCCCAAATTTCTTTTGCAGATTCTACATCACTAACCTTTTCGAAATTGTCTGGGATGATACATTGGTGAATTATAAAGAGAGCTTTATAATTCTTCTTCTTCGATTTTTTATATGTAGTTTCTTCTTCCTTTGAAGCGTCTTCATCAAGTGGTTCCAATCCATGTTTCACAAGATCCCAAAGACCTTGAGAACAAAATATAACCTTCATATGTTTGCACCAATTCTCATAGTTATCACCTTTAAGAATCGAGAGATTTGCTGAAAAATTTCCGTTAGCGTAATTCATCGCCATCGTGAATTTCTTCATCTTCTTCCTCGATTGTTCTTGATCGTTCTTCCCTTTAATCACTCAACCGGAGCTCTTGATACCAGATGTTGGAAATCTACCAAAACTTATGATCGAGTTCTATCAATCTTAATGAACAAGATTGATATCACCACACACTGACAATGAAAAATAAAAGATGAATAAAGAAATAAAGTATTTTTCTACAGAGTTTCTCTCTGCCCACAAAATATGGAAAAACTTTATTATTCACTTGCAACTGCAAATTCTGTGAAATACAACTTGATTGACTTGATTACAAAAATAGGGTTACTCCCTCTATTTATACATTTAAGTTAACGTGTTCTCTAAGTCAAAAGCCTAAAACTATAAAAGCCCAAAATATCTATTTTGGAACTAAATCAAATCTATTTTATTTTAAACCTAAAACAAATTTATCTAGATCTAAAACAAATTTGTGTGTAACAAACTATTTCCACACTTAATCAAATATTTTCGACATTTCATTGTCTTTGTCGAGCAAATTACTTCGACATAAAAAATTACTTTCAACGAGTCACCAGAATTAACAATACTCGTTCGTGGTACTTGCAAGACTCAAAGTTCAGCCTTAACCAAATTCGAGTAACCCAGATTACATGTAAAAGCATATATAAAACAACAATATAGTCAAAGGTGAGACTTCTAAAGTTCTAACATTTTAAAGAGTTTGTACTACTCAATCATGTGTAGTTGGCAAAGGTGCAACTTGAGCAATGGGTGTTGGTAGTGGCGAGCTCCGACACATGGGACATGAGAGGTTTAGCCTAAACCATGTAGCAACACACTCCTTATGAAAAAAGTGACCACAATCAGACAAGAGTTGCAACAACTCTGAATCTTTATAATCTCCTAAACATATTGAGCAAGTGAGTGATGTTGAATCAGCCTTATGAAGCTTGACTTGTGAATACAACAAAATAGGGTAACTATTCAGGATTGCATCTTGTTCTTCCTCACAAACTTCAATATTCAACTCGGTATGATCTCTCTCCATCATGATTACCGTTCTGTTGGAATTGCTGCTGCCACTAGATTGTAACATGTTTTGCCAGTTTCTGTTTTTACAGTAATATGTACATAGAGATATGAACATCATTAGAAAGATAAAGGCAAAAGACATTCCAAGATAGTAATATGTTAACATATTTGAGTTCTCTGAAGGGTTGTAATCAGAAATGTAAGTGCTGTTCATGGTTTTTTCTGTCTGTAGGAACTAGGAAAAGACTATGATGATGGTTAAAGAGAGAGCTATATTGATTGCGTGAGTGAATTGAATATAAGTTGCAAGGTGCAAATATAGAGAAGGGGAATAAAATGTCAACTTGAGGGTAGTTGTTTTGTGGTGATATGGTAGTTTAAGTTTATATGCATTATGTATGCCTCATGAAGTCAATAGCTGGTGTAGGTTATAAATGTATCTGTCATATTTTTAACCTCAATTGTATATTTAAGCTAAGTTTATATTCTATGGTTCTAGTTGCTTACTACATATTTAAACAATGTTTAAATGTGTTGTATTTCTGATAATGCTGTAAAAATAATAATTTATTTTCTACGATCGAAGGAGAGTGGAGACTAGTATTTAAATAATCAATGGAGGTTAAAAGTAGCTCTCGAAAATCAAACTTATGATCAAGTATTTAAATAATGCTGATTTTTTTGGTATGGTTAAGATGCTTTCCTTTCTTTTCAAAAACTAGAGATTTTGAAAGTATAAATATAACAGATTAATTGGATTAAAATTTTTTATAAACATTTAATATGTAAAGCATATTTGATTTGACTTTTGATCAATTTTAAAAATGTAGAATTGATTTTGAGTAATTTTAAAATATTTGATTAGATAAAAATAAAATTATTTTTGCCTTTAAAATTGTTAATAATTAAAGCTAGAATTTGTAGTTTCTGTCTCCAATTTTGATTCTGAGTAATTTTTACAGTGAAATTTATTATTCAACTCACTTTTATATAAATGTATTCAAATATTTCTGATATAATCAATTATAATCCAAACACACCCTTAAAAGTTATAGTATTAGAGAGAAATAATAGAGAGGATATTTCCTCTTTTAAATCAATTATTTATTTGTCCACTCTGCTTTCTACATCAGTTTGAACAAAGCATGATAATATAACAAATTTTAACTTAGAACTTAATTAAAAACCCTCATCTCAAACCAAATTAAAAAATTCAACATTTTTGAAAAATTTGAAGCCAAGTTGGCTTAAAAGTTTGTTATCTATTTATTTTTGAGTTAAATAACTTTTTGATCACTTTAAATATCTCAAATTTTATTTTTGGACTCTTTAAAATTTTCTAGGAGAAACCAAAAATTAAAATTTAATTTTTTAAGAAAATCATTCTTTAAAGGTAAATTTTAGAATGACTAAAAACAAAATTTAAGATATTTAGAGGGACCAAAACTTATTTAACCCTTTATTCTTTTAAAAAAAGCAAAAAAACATTATATATATAAGTAACCTTTGAAAAATTGTAAATAATTTACCCATAACCCAAAAAGTCACATCAAAACTTTTTCCACAAGCTAATACTTTTTCCACTTATAAATATAAAAATGTAACACATCTTAATTGGGTGTACCAACAAAACTTCAAAGGTAATCTAGAAAAAAGTCGTTATTAAATCATCTATTAGACATACAGAAACTGTCATGGTTTAGATAGTATTAAATAAATCAATAAATCTAAAAAATATTAATAAATTCAAAAAAATATTAATATGATTCACACAATAAAATTGGTATTTCGAAAGTGTACACATTTTACTGACCATAACTATTAACTGCCAATTTCTAAGTTTATGCCAAAAACACCCGTAATATTTTTTTTCCATTTTCCCGAGTCATAGTTATTTCATACAAATAATGGCAATGAAATTACTGTATTAATCAATGTTATCAAGTTCTGCACAACTTTACAGGGTCTTGCTCGTGTATGTGCCAGCTACGCCAATGAAATAAAAAGCATTCTTTAACCGCGTAGGGATGCCCGAGGGACAGCAGGCAAACCCAGTTCATCTTCAGTCTGTAGGTATTAAGGAAATCAATCAAGACCAAAAAAAAACTATACATCATTAATGTAAAAAAATAGAGTAATTTACTACTACATAGAAGTCAGACTTGTTCTATTAAACAACATCAAGAATAGTTTGTCAGCTAGAACTAGTACACAATATAAAAAAAGGCAGAGTAACTACACAAAGGTTGACAGCTAATAACAAAACAGAATCCTTTGAATAATCAAGTAAATGGAACATAGACACATCTTTACAAGTTACACCATCAGAATACAACATCAAGTATCCTCGGATTACCTATGTTTTGAACAAGCATTCTGCTTCCCAGTTTCTTATTGATTTTATTCAACTACTGACAATTTCAGAGCTTAAATAGACTCGGGTCCAATTTCAAGTAACTACTGTTACTGTTACCTAGTTTATAAAATTAAGATTCCTATATTTGTCTTTCAACCTTCAATGAACAGAAAAATGAAATTAAATAATCTTGGACAATACCGTCGCTTACCTAAACAGTGTCATATTATCCCCCACCGCTCTAGAAACCAATACCAATTTCTTTTATAAAAAAATTCAATTAAAATCCAGTATTGCTCTACAATCTAAGTGTTCATCAGTAACCAGTATACATACTCCCACCAAGATGTAGCAAAAGTATTTCTATAAAGACACAAACATGTTTTCGGCATAAAATCATATAGTTTGCAGTGAGAATTGAGAAAGAATTCCCCCCTTAAGAAAAGACTCGTCTAAAGTATAGCTATAAATTATAATAACCACAACAAAAGGAAAAATAATTTTCATATTGATAAGATAAAATAAAAGCAAAATACTATACTTGGACATTGGATCTGCCATGTGGCACTGCAGTTTGACCGGTTGGAGCTGAAGGTAAGTTAAGCTCTGAATCCAAATCAGATTCTTTATCAGGTTGGAGGTAGGAGGGGACTCCTTCAGATTCATGTTCCATGTCTGCTTCCAGCGCGTCAAGTTCTGGTATACCAAAATAAACAAGACAGATAATTTTAGATAATTCTTCACCAAAATAGAACCATCGACCTTAGATGAGTGATCATTCCTTAAAAGAAAGTGTATTGTAAATTACAATGCATCCAACTCACAAATGAAACAACTTAACATTTCCTTTAGAACACTGTTTGTCTTTTAATTTTGAACTAGGATTCAAAACAAAGTAAAATCTCAAAAGTTGATTCCCAAAAAGGTAGCTAACATACATCTCAAAAGTATAAACAATTTCTTAACTTACCACCCAAAAGTTCCTCCTCATCTATGTCATCAGGAACACTATAGCTTCTACCCAAAGTCTCTTGGATTTCATTACTTACATCCATCAAGTCCATCATCTCATCTTGCAAGTTCTAAAAAATCAATTAACAGTAAGACCTAAAATTCTCAATGATAACTAGATAGAAGCTATAAGAAAAGGAAACAATACACACATCAATGTCTTGGATCTTCACAGTTTTCATCATTCCCTTCAAATCCTTGTTGGCAGACTTCAAAGCTGACATCTGAAAAAGGGGAGGGGTGGAAGGAAATAAAGAGAAATTTGTGAGAAAGTGTATTCAAATTATATATCTACTAGGCAAAATATTCTTCCAGGTCATTCAATTTCTGAAAACCTAAATATATACTAAATTGATATAACAGAAGTATAATGCATAGTGAATAACATCGTTATGAAGATAACCCCCTCTTGAATTACAAACCATTCATCCCCTACTTCTTGTGAGGTAGGCAGCAGGTTCCAAACAGGATACAGACAAAGCTTCGCCTCGAACCATGCCCCTTAAAGCGCTACCAAGACAAACGAATGTTTTACAGTGAATATGGTTACCCCAGTTATCCTCACTTAATATAGCATATAGCATACAATTGGTGTTGTCAAATTTTAGAAACTTTACAAATAGATACAGGCATTCAAATATTTGAATCTTAAAAATGGATGAAAATCCAAATGATAAATAATAAAACAAAAGGGTGGTGCAGTACTTCACAAGGCTCCCCAATGAAAGGTTTAGAAAATATCAAATGAAGAAAGCCATATCCCACTAGCGGGGGGAAGCTGTTTTCCTCATCTGTGACCACAGGTAGCAAAGAAACACCTTTTTGCCAACGCTCACCCTCAGAATAAATCACGAAACACAATTGATTAAGTTTTTCCTTTCTAAAACCATGCAGCTTAAAAGCATCAAGTCTTATGACTTGCTATTAGAGAGGGTGGGATGAAGTTATGCCATAAATCGTGTGATTGAATAAGTAGGGAAAAAATTATAAAACATGCCTTCTTTATGAATAAAACCATCTTCAAAGGCCAGTACAACAAATAAAGATGTCATACAGAAGGATCTATGAGAAGAGTTTAATCAATCCATGGAACACAGAGAAAACTAAGCTCTTGGATACATACAGTTTGTTGAGCATCTTTAATTCCCTCAGCAGCAAATTGAACTTGGTCGAGGTTGAATGTCTGATTGTACAACATGTCACGTTGACCTTCATACCTGATCAAAAGCATAGTGTATTGGTATATGAAAACAACAATATAATACTCACTTCATGTATAATTGAGTTAAGGAAAATTATTAGCTGCATGATAAAGTACTTGAGCATATGTAAAGTAAAAACTCAAAGTATTCTTAGTGTGCGTACAATCTGACAACTCAACAACGACAAATAAACTGCAAAAACAAAGAAGAAGCAACTCACATTCGCTTTTGTTTAAGAACTCGCATGGCTCTAGATTTAATAGCTTCGAGAGTAGGACCGGGCCTTGTTTTCTTGATCTGTTCTTTGTATCTACTGAGTTCAACATCAAGCTTCTTAATCTTCTCATCCACCGTATCACCTCGTTTCGTAATCTGCAATACACACAACAGTTATACTCCATCAAATAGATAACAGAAAAAGTGTTTTGCAACAAAAGAATCAAAACTAAGTAAATCGACTAAAATTACGCAAATATATAACTGTAACATAGAATTGTTCTACAAATTTAGGTATCGGGAAATATAATAGTGTTATAATTGAATAATTAACTTCAAAATCCGAAAAGAGAACCGAAATTGAACAGATCTGCGAGTGTGCGAACAAACCCTAATGCTAATTGAATGAAATCGATAAGAGAAAGATGA